TTGAAAGCAAACATATCGATGATTACGCGGCTTATCGTTGTTTATGTATTATGAATCGAGTTGCCGTTTTGACTGTTTACCTGAGTGAACCCTGCACCTTCAAGAAAGTTGTAGATGCAGCAACTATTTTTATACGCTGTAAAACATAATTTCTGCTAATTATTTTCTTTCATTGTGTGTAAACGTACCCTGTTACTGTCCGCTTGATGCTATATGATATGCTGAAAGCTCTGTGCGGCACTCCCACCACTTTTACCCCTGTTTTTCCAAAAAACGGATAAAATTGAAACAGCGGTGACGTTTTGCGAAATAATGCAAAGGCTATTGCTGCAGATCTGTCAACACACATGAAACCAGAAGGTCCTGAGTTCGATCGCTAGCCGGGTCATAGGCGCGCACTGCTGAGGAGTCCCACACCAGGATGAAGCAGCTGTCCAGCGCTCCTAGATTTTCAGCGGTTCTCCAACTGATGCCAGTCCGTGATGAATACCACCTCTAAATCAATAATCTTCATTCGTCTCACGGATAAATTACTTTCGTTTTCATGACTACGAATTACCAAGAGTATCACACGAGTAAAACTGGCGTGGACCCGTGTATATTAACTTATGTGAAATATCATCAGACTATCTGCCATAGGCGTAGTTTATGTGAAACAGACAGATAAAAACTATTCATATAACAGGACACCGATTATCAAAAAGCGTTTCATTTTGTTCAGCATCTAGTGGAATACGGCAGGTTGCATCAAAAGGGTAGGTTTACTCAGAAGAAATGGGAACAAATGTTTTCATAGTTGTCTTATATTTTCTGTAGCGTTCACCGCTTGCCTATCTCATGGAAACACAGGATGAAGCAGCCTTTATAGTGGACATGTTTGCGACAGGATTTACTGTTTTCATATTAGATCATAAGAACGGCTGAGCTATACACAGGCAGTGAAAAAGACGTACATCAGTTCTTTCTAGAATGGTGGCCTTGTTTACTTCGTCCCCCAAGTCATGGAAGGAGCTCCCGGTGATCACGTCAAACGGAACTCCTACATCTTTCCCTAGCATGCACGGGTATATGAACATGCTTTTGTCGCTGGCTGAATGAAGATGACTTACATACTTCAGCGTACCCATCATGATACCACAAAAATCATTTCGCTGGACACGGGTTTGATCAGAAATGTTCTCCCAGGAATCTCTAGTTGATCACCAATTTCGGATGAACCGCTGTAGAAATTCCAGTCCGATATCTGTAGCAGCAGCCTGATGGTTAGGCTCGGGTGTCCCAATAATCTAGTGCTGGTGGAAGGCCTGCTTCCTCTAGGTCCTGCCATGCCAGAAAGAAGTGATGTTCATTGTCATGGGTCATGGCTGCACCATCCTTCCTATCTCCTAGGATATTTGATGCTTAAACAATTGCTGAATAATGCCCGATTTCAAGCTGAACTTGCCTTAATCCATCGAAAAATTTTGTTGGTGTTTGGCAAGTTCATTCTTTGTTGTCTTTAAAGCAATAGCGTTCCGTTTGTGCCTTACGTAACGATGTCTAATGCGCTACTTGTTGCTGATCGTTGCAATGAATTAATATCACCAAACCGATCATACGTGCTAACTGGTTTACTGTCATGTGACCGATTTTGTATGAGAAACGTATGTAATTATTACAACGGAAGGAAAAAGAGCAGTATAAACTGCCACGTTACAATGGGTTCCAAGGGCAAAGACATATTGCAAACCGGATTTGGATTTGACGGCAGCAATGTGTTTTCTGTAGATGACCAGCAGTAACATTTTGATGCTGCATTTGATATGGGAAGGAAGAGTTGAGAAGACCGGCAGTAAAATATCACGATCCCCTATACTCCACGGCAAACAAGTGCCGGGAGTGTGAGTTCATGGCTGGACTGGAGGAAGACAAACTCAACCGGCAAGTGCCATTTGAAAAAACAAAGAATATTCTTTTCATCAAAGTCTTCCTCCAGTTCTGCGGTTATATGCACATATTGAAGAATCATGCGTCAACAGCACCGAAATTTAGTTAACCAGTCCGTCAATAATGTTGCGCACTAGAGGGAACTTACCTGGAGATCTATCACCTCCCAATCAACCAGCCTGTGGTTTTTTGGCCTTCTGACGATCCTCGATGAGTACGACGCACATCTCTTGTCGAAAAGGAGAATTTTCTCACTGAATTGCCTTTTGTTAATTTTCACCATTTTGAATGTCCTGTTCACTGGCAGTAAATTGAACGAGGCGCAGGCGATCAGTAAAGATCAAAACATACAACATTTCGTCTTCGTTCAACGATCACGGAATTAACAGAGAAGGGAAGGGAACCAGGTGGTCATCGCCGTCAGCGTTCATAGTAACTCACAGAAGAAACGCTTACTTCAGCTAGCGTTTCCACAACAAACTTTTTAGTGTTATTTCTATCAGCTAAACTAAATGAGATACTACTATGCGTCATATCGAATACAACAAAACCCGCCACAAACAACGGACTCCTCCATTCTCCTAACGCCTGTTGGTTGAAACTTTAAGACCACATGACAAAAGCCGAAGAATTATACAGCTTTGGAATAAACTGTGATGCTACCAGACGTTAGTACGATTCCCTGATGATCCAGGCGTCAACACTCTGAATCATTAGGATTTTATGATTTTGATAGATGCATCGATGTCTAGTTTTGAGTGATGCTCTCTTTTCAAAGAAGAGGTCTATTTTCAGTCCATGTTACCTCGTTCTGTTTTGTTATTCAAATACACGTTTAGTTGAACGTGCAGTGTGGGGTGTAGAAATTACTTGCGCACCTTCAGCTACTTCTGTTGGCTTATCAGCGTCGGCATCACCACCAAGAACTCCGAAACCCATTGGATGTTAGTCACGACGAGTAGTAACCACATCCGGTAAGAAGAGTTTTTGTCTATCTTCAGGCCCGCTACTAAACCTTACACAAACTTCATCGGTTATGACGAGGTTTCACTGTTAAATATATGTGCTAGTTTCTCATTCTTGTAACAGAAGTCGGAACACCTGAGGGGACATAGTGGGAAACCACAGCAGCAAAGAGGGAAGATAGTCTCCGCAGGGTAATGGTTCTCGCTCCATGTAACTAACGCTTGGAACCGACATCCAGAAGAAGTGTGCACATCATCAATTAGCTCGTTCAAAAGGGGACTAGACAAGCACAGAAATCTACTGCAAAGGGATTAACGTAGGCTTCCAGCCTCCTATCCTCAAACAACAAATCTGAATCGGAAATCTCAATCTATCTGATCACAAACCGCAGTAGTTGTGTGAACAAACGTTTTTTATTAAATTTAGTTCACAAGTTCTGCCTCAAAGAATAGTTTTTTTAGGGTCTTCGAATATCCTTGAATATTTATTCTTGTTTATGAATCAGAGTGTTGTGAACTTGTTCTCTCTGGGCTTAGCTGTGGGGACCACACAGTTATCCTAACGACCTATTTCTTCGACTTGTCGTTAAGTGATTTACGCAAGGGTGTAGGATGTAATTTTCTTTACGGTCCCTCACGTGTGGAACACTGTACTCAACATTCCGGGAAATTATTTCATGGGGGAGGGGGGAAGTAATTCTTAACCTAAAATCCATAGATGATCTTATAGAGACTCAAAAGAGGGGTGTACTAAGTGACAGTTCGCTAACGGATCTTGTTTCCACAGGCTTGGGAAGGTTATCACTCGACATGGTGAAAACGAAGGTAAAAAATGCCTAACGAGTAGTACGGGGAGTGAGAAGAAATTCTGACAGAAGAGCAGCGGGAACGGTCACATGCATACAATATATCTGTAAATGAATAGAATTCCTGGCAAGCTCAGAAGGTGACTTAACAGCCCACAATCATATGCTGCCATATTCAGAAAAAAGAGATATTCAGCGAACAGAACTCTTTTCAACGAGGCAGCACTGATGGCATAGGGCTCATCATAGACGTAATTCCTTATAATCAAGTAAAAAAATATCTACTTTTATGCGTATTTGTACACAAGTGAGATTTAGCTCCAACCAGATGACACATTCTTCCCATCTTCTATCGCCATGACCGGTACGCGTCAGCAACGAAAGATAGCAGCAAGAAAAGCATGAGAAAATGGCTTGAAATTCGAAACCACTTGAAAAACAAATTAGGGTAAATTGTTTCCTTAAGCAGTCCTACATTGCAATATGAAGCACCTCTTTAAACATTGGATTGAGTTCGTACGGATCAGATATAAATAGATCGAAAACTCTTACCAGATCGTTTTTTTTTCATTTGGCAACCACCCTTCGTTCTCTTTCCAAAGAATACTGTGATTTCCAACACCTTAAGAACACTACTGCCTTCCTGAGGATATTTCATCAGAGGTAATGGCAAATTTCCGGAAGAAAATTGAAACCTTTTGGGTATTTGGTTACTAAAGTGTCTCTTCATGTGGAATGTCTAGAATTCCATCCCAGGTTCAATAAGGAACTGAGCGAACAAAGTCATGGTTTAAAGCATCCAGCCCATGCTTTTTACGAATGTCCTGAAAGAAGTTGAGCACTAAGCCAGGTTTAATCATTGTGTGAGCGAGTTTTGACGTAATCTCAGTGGATCTGGAAAATCAAAACAAGATTTTTGTGGAAGTTTCACGGCATCTGCAACAGCTTCTTCGGCAAAATATCCGGATTTTTATTCAGCTTCAAAACATCTGCCGTCAAGTGTTTTTGTTTTTATGCCACTGATTAACTTGGTGGTTGTGGAAACATTGGCGTATAGGGCGACACTTTTGGGGAAATCTTGATTTGATTTTTTAAGTACGCCCGAATTATGCTAAAACTTATTTATAAAAAGTAATAGTCGACTGAGAATCAGTCATTGAACACACGGGAAATTGAGTTTCTGAATTTCGAAAGCAAACAAGGTTGGGCTAGGAACTTGCATATACTTTGAAACCCTCCTGCTTTATATGTACTAGTAAATAACCTTCAACGTTTCGCTTCCACGACCTTTAAGGGCGGGAAAATGGGTAAAGGATGCACCACCTTTCTCGTCGTAGCGTTATTGACCTTTAACGTGATATTCCTCGTAAGTATTTGTAAATATTTATCAAGGAATAAATGTCTGCAAATTTTCTTATGTGTTCACTTATTTTTCACTACACTTAACCATTCTAGCATAGCTCACATCAGTAGAAGAGTTTTCAAATTACTCAGAATCCTCCTAGTTAGTTCGTATCAGTGCATACAACCTGACTTTTGACCTATATGCAAAGTTTTCTCTCAAAAATAGTTTCCATTCGTCGATATAACTTGAAGTTAGGCTGTCTTTAAGACTTTTAACTATTTGTCCAGTGTTTGAATTGGAAATGAACTTATTAGGTCAAATGAAAATTCATAGTTGCTTGTAATTTCAGCTTCATGAGTTATTCTGACGTTGAGACAACTCCGTGAGGATGTATGCTTAAAGAATGTGGCTAATCGCAACTTTCCGTACTTACGCATTGTTGCTGGTACTCAGTGAGTACTGAATTACGACATACTTTTGTTTATTTTCTTACCCCTGGTTCCTTTTATGTCATTGTTTTGTTGCCTTAACATCAAATGTAGCCAGCAGACACTAAAATGAAGTATGATTCACCTCGATGGTGGTAGAATGTGACTTTCACCCACCAGTTCACAGCCCATTCTAGTACAAAGCAGCATAAAATGACGACTCCGTGACGAGTAGCGAAAGTAAATTAAAGAAAGTAGTGAGTGATGATATGTCGTAGATGATCATCCAGACTAATTAACCAAACGCTTATCTGAAGATGACTTCTAGTGAAGATGCTACTCAGATGCACTTATCGACTTACCATTATTACCAAACAGCTTCATATTTCACGGCAGTTAGCTGAACGAATATGTATTATATCACATAGTACTTCGCCGATAATCTGTTAAAGTCATCTATGATAATAACTGTGATGATTTTAAGGTGAGACAAGCTGGTAGCATCGCATAGTAAGATATCAACATCAAAACAGATGAGATAGTTTTCGTTTAAGCACTCTTGTGACATCTTTCACAGGCAGATGATATCATCAACGTGATGTTCAGGATTCTGGATGCAGGTCTTTAGTATGCTGAGAACTTTGATAGACACTTCTTCTTGACATTAACTGATAGTGAATCTTCAGTCACTCTACATGTTAGTAGCCATCTTGACTGTCGTAGGGAGTGACTGTGCGAGTGTGTCGGTAAATAAATGAATAAATATTTATTTGATCTGTTAATATTCATCATTTACTACGTTTTTACGCTCAATAAAATGCCGTCTGGTGCTTAATCTTCTCTCATTTATTTGGTTGCAATTAGTAGAGGGGGCAACAGCCAAAATATTTTCAATATCCCTGCATTTCGTTCGTTCACCATTATGTTGCAAACAGTTATTGCGGCCAATCTAAGCTATGTGTATAATTCATTAGTAAGTAATCTAAGTAAAAACTCAATGATAACTTTTGTAAATCAACTTTTTCAACCGTTCACTATCACCATAAGTTCTGGCATTACTGTATGAAGGTCCAAGTTGCCATACCTCACATCAGCACATTTAGATACACAACAACAGGACAAAAGTTAGAAAAATAAAGTGTTATGAAATGTCACAGAAAGGCATCAGAAAAGGCGATATAAAAAGAAAATAATGAAGTGTTATATAACAGCTAAAATTGAGGTTGAGCATGAGTTGTGAGTCATGCCAGCTAGTCTCCAGCCACCGGTTTCGGTTGCCATTCATATCTCAACATAGAAGCCTGGATTCCTCCACACCGCTCAGAAGACAGTTAGATACATTTTGAATCGATACCACGCTTTAGTCTGCCCCCATCCAACCATTTTCCAAAAGAACCCTAGTCTAGCCAACATTGCGAGTTGGAGTACACTGTGACCAGGGAAGACTCATTGCCCATACAAACATGATTTTCCCGAACGCGTTTCAGAACATTACCTCCTTTGGCTAGCGGCTACATTACCTTTGAAATTTAAGTTTATGTAAAGCGTTTCTGGGCGTAGGAGTAAGTTTCTGTGTTAGATTTTGTCTTCATATCTCTGGACACAAAATGTGCTGGATACCTGTTCCCAATCAGGATTTTTCTCAAAGCAGAAATATTTTGTTATAGCGCGCCAAAGTTTCAGATTCGTTGAATTTGAATAGTAAGCGATGTGGTTAGATTTGTTTCGTAGTTTGTTGGTGGCTGGTCATTCCTCGTAGGTTTTCGATAAACCGAATTCCCTTGTGTTTCATCAGTTTTCCTTGTCAATCCCAAGTCAAGAAATTAAACCTCCGATCCATTTTTTATTTTGAGAGCAGGTTTGATTGCTAACTGACAACTAGCGGATACTTGTAGAATATGATTTAGGCCAGCTTGATTTTCACAAACTTTTGAATGAAATCACCAACATTTTAACTTAGAAGTTGCACACAGTTTCGTACACGAGGCAGTCAACCGCACTTATAGTGTTCCGGCTAATACTGCCTGGTTACCCAGTTCTAATTAAATGAAACTTGGTCTGAACTCCTAACTATCTACTTAAAAATCGAATGCAAAAACCCTTGCTCTACCCTTGCAGCTTTAAGAAATAGATATAGTAACCGTAGCTGTCCTTGATGTGCACCTGGTTGTCAGCACTTCAAATAAAAACTCTAATCTCCAATATAGTTGCTTAATTTCTGGCGAAAATCATTGACTAGCTTAATGCATTTACTGTACTCCCTTCACTGTTAGATGCTAATGCGATGCCTTCAGATCTATGATATCAAATACCAAATTCACCTTCGCAAAAGTACGTGTCTTGCACTTGCTAAAAGGAAAGAAATGAAGAAACCTCCTTAGCAGCCTTCTGCACATTAGTAAAGTAGAAATCAGCCACACCTCTTGGGTGAGGGTTAATGATGTTACCTGGCTAACCAAACCTTGGTAGATGGACCCGAGTTCGAACCCATGCCTGTTAGTTGAAAGTTATGTGCCTAGAATAATCAGTCATAACCCATAAGGCATCCGTAAATATGCACGCGTTCCGGTAAATATCGAAGGTACAATTACTGAACTCGTTTTCGAACCTAAAACTTATTAGGCTTCTTCGAATTTGATTTCGAGCTGTAGTTCGTTTTCTAATTACTGTCGATCCTAGAATCTTTGACACTATACGGTTGAAGTTATCTACCCCGTTGCTACGATAACTTTTTCACGTTAACTATGGTGATCTGGACCAGCCTGATAAGACAACCTCTGGTTCTCATGAACTAGTTTGTACCTCAGTTACTTTTATCAGTAATTATTCATCTTATTCCCTAAGAACTGCTAAGTGGAAGTGTTTATGTCTTTTTAGACGCTAAACAGTCTTATCAACTTTCCTTACAGCTAAAAGAGGCGTATCTACTTCATATTCACACTACGACTAGGTGGTGAGCAACTGAGATGTCGCTGAAGGTCAGCTGAGTAGTTCCTAACAGTGCGTTATCTAATGTCCTAGCTGTCTGTCTTAAGACATTTTCGAGGACTCCTCTCAATAGCATACAGATAAAATCAACATAGAACCTCGCACACAGGTGCATCACCTCAAGTTGCCACACTTCACAGTAGTACACAAAGAACAGGTAGGTAGAAAAAGTGACATAAAAGTAAATAAAATGGTGTGACAGAGTAAACAATTTGAAGAAAGCGGTTAGTGCAAACATTCAGGCTTAAGAAGATGCCAAGAAGTGGATACATCTACACCATTGTGACCGCTTTTCAGCCATATCACTAAGTCCTCAAGCACTTATTCCTATCCTCCCCGAGACCTAAGCCAGGCAATTTTTATAAGTCTGTATCTCACATTTGACAGGCGATACGCCGGCCAACCATCCTCAGATTTCTACTTAACGCATTCACAAGACCCTGCATTTTGTCAGTTTCTTCATCCAGCAGGACAATATCGTCTGCATACTCCAAGTCAACCAGATAACTTCCTGCAAGTATGTCAATCCCTGTGAGGTCAGACGTACCTAAGGTTATATCCATTAGTACGTCAACCTCGAAGTTGAACAGGACCAGTGACAGCTGTCATCCCTGGTGAACACCACTAGTTGTCGTCATTCTTGGTAACAACTCTCCATAGTACCTTACAAGGCTGTGTGAGTTCCAGTAGAAAGCTTTGATAAGCACTGTGTATTTGTTGGGTACTCCCTTCACAGTCAGATTGCTACAACACCTTATGGTCGGCAGACTCAAATGCAGCCTTCAGACCAAGAAATATGGCAAGTGTCGTCCGCCGGTAAGTATGTCTGTGTTCCAGAATCTGTTGGAGAGTAGAAATATGATCGACGCACCCTCGTCTGGGTCTGTCTGAAACCTGCCTGGTTTTCCCGAGCTCCAATCAGACATCGGATAACTATGGGTTCTAGTCAAACTAACTCCCCCATGGTCGTCACAAGAAGACTTCTCTTTCTTCTTTTAGACCTGGATGATCAATTAAGTACACCAGTCTGATGGCAATATCTCAGATTCCCATACACTACCCAGTACTTCTGTCACTCTAATCACTAGTTGCCTACCTCCATTCTTGAAAACTTCAGGTGGCAAACTGTCAGGACCTGCTGCTTTGCAATGTTTCGGGCTCGATTCAGCTTTCTCCGCTTCGATAAGAGTTGGAAAATTCACATCTGCTTCCCATTCAGGTTCGGCAACTGAAGCGTTGCTGTAGGTTAGTTGGACTGTGCTTCAAAGTGTTCTGACTGACGTCCTATCCGCTTATCCTTCGGGGTTATCAGCATCCTACCCTTTTCGATGATGGTTTCGCTCACCATCGTCTTGCCAGTATCCCCAATAAACTTAAATAGTTGCCGAGTGTTTTCCAACGCTGATTCAATTTTAATCTCTCTCACTTTCGCCACTCACCACTCTTGGCGATCGACGCTAAGATTCTTGTTCAATTTACGTTTGAGTTGCTTTCACTCCTCATCTTAATCAAAGCCTGTTGGAATCAGTCTTCTCACATCAATCGGTTCCAATAACATTGAAGGGATCCCATAATGTTTGCTCACCTTCGGATGTAGGCTGCCATCTGTCTTAACTACTGTTTCTACAGAAGACCTAATATCACACCAGGTTGCCTCAGGATAAGAATTACTGTCATGTTCAGATAAATACTTAGCTAACTCTTCCCTAAATACATAACTGCTGACCTCATCTTCTAATAGAGAATAGAAAATAGTCTCGCTGATGGCTTTTTATTGTCAATCTGTGTAACAGGCTTTAAAAACAACCAAGTCAACTCTGCCGACTTCTTATTCACCTTCCATTTCTATCATCCTCAATGCTCTTGGTCATTACGAATACTCATATATAATCTGTATACTGTGATCCAAACTAACCGTAATAATTATTTTTCATCACTAAGTCCCAGTGATTTGTAGTGACAACTGGTTTTAAGTTACTCACTATGTTTACCCTTGCTCCTACAGCAAGCTTTACCCGGATGAAATTTTTGTCATGTTCAAATAATTTTCTAGCTGCCTCCATTCCAGATGCATAATTAATGTCCCTGTCTTTCATCTGAGCTCAACGATACCCTACATCTGCTTCTCACTCAACCCGTTTATACGTAGAAATACGTGCTCGGAATAACTTTATCAGAGTCTAAGCATGTACTCTGAAAATCAGTTCTCCATCAGTACTTTATGCCCTCGTCCACCACTTCCTTGATGTTGGTTGGTGCTAACTCAGACAATATTCCTCCTTATGTTGAAGTTAGTCTTGGCCACGAATAAGTGATATCAAGCAAGAAATTGTATTAACGGATCATTTTTACCGGTACGTCGTGATGAGATCCCGTAGATGCTGTTAAATCCATTTCTGATCCACTCAGCTTCTCTGCCTAAAAGCTGAAGTCCCTTTCTTGCATGACTGTCTAAATGTCGTGCATTTTTTAAGAAAAATTGACAGTGATTAGTTGAATGGATTCTTTGCATAGGTGAAGACTACAAATATACGCCGATAGGTTTAACTAGTCCCTCCTAAGTCTTACAAATCCATTCAACTGGACTGTTAACTAGCAACCGCTTGAGCAATGAAATTTATGCTTTAGAATTCATTGCTATCCGTACACCGGCGAGTCTATGAGGGTTAGTCCTTGAATCTTTTGACACCTACAAGATAAATCTGACAGATTCACTAGAAATTGATGTCAGTGATTCACCGTTAACCAGTCTCTGCAAACTATTGACAGACTGCACGGTAAATGTTAGTATTTTTCAAATCTGACTAAGTTTTCATCAAGCGAGATGAGGGTTTGATGTTTCTGGATAAAGAAGTTTACAGATCAGTGTATGTATGTATGTGATTTCAAAACAAAACAGACTTAAACCACTAAGTTATCCACTCTTGCTCCAAGGTGTATGAAGAACTGTGTACTAGTTGATTAGGTTCCCAGTTTTAGCAGAAATTAGTGGATGAGAATATGGTTCGACAGTAATATAGGTTCACTGACTGTATTTTCCTCTGACAACTGAAAATAGTATTCACCCTTACTGTGTACCGATTAGTCGGTCATTTAAAACTAAACTCTTAAACTAACAGTCTTTTCGTCAGTTTCATGTATATTTTTGCTGCAGTAAACTCCACACACACACTTTTTTCCGATTAATAGCTGATTGGTGCAGCAATATTATGTTTCTCCATATATTGTTATGTGGATTCGTTGATCCAGAATGCTGTATCCCGTTCTGGACATGCTGATAAAATGCAGAATTTATTATACGCACTTATCGGTCTTGGCTTGCTGACAATTGTTGTTTCTATTTTTGGATGTTGTGGAGCTTATCATGAATCACGTTGCCTACTTGGAACATATTCTATTTGTTTAACTATCATGTTTGGCGTCGAGATAGCAGTTGGAACATTGTGTCTAGTGTTTAAAGTTGAAGTAAGGGAATGAAAACTGTTTTCAACATGTATTTTAGACTGAAAAAAGAATCATTCGAGCTTTAGAAAATATTATAATGCAGTTCAAGGATGAACAAGCTGATGGAAATTTTGATGAAAGTTATTCATATCGTGATTGGATACAGAGAAGTGTAAGCATCCTTACTTTCTGTTTTTGTTTTCATCTGCTCGAATTTGTTCGATATTCGATATGAAGGTTTTTGGGGATTTACTTATTGATTTCAGGTTGATATTCATCATGGGCGGACATGAGTTGGAGAACCATTGGAAACCTAGAAGCACTAGACGGACGTTTTGTCATAGTATGAGGCTTCTGAACAGCGCACACCCATGACTCCCAATGGGTTCCACGATCAGCATGTTACCCTTGAGCTACTGGGTCGGTATCTAATAGTTCACATTTCCCATTTCTATCAGTTCACGATATGGCAAAACCTCCATCCAATCCCGTCGTTGAGTAACTATCGTCATATCCGATTTAGTTTTTCCCACTGGTGGCAGTTTTTCATTAGAACTTCGAGAATCTCATCTCGAAACAAGTCAATAATGAGCAGATATATCGTATCTGTTAAATGGATTTCAAGTTATGATGAAAGAGATAAGCATCCAACTCCTAAGTGGTAAATCTCTATTTCTGTGTAAGTCAGCTAACCACTTGATGAGCGTTGACCTGGAGTGGTCACTAATATGCAGGACCTAACGCCACACTGTTTATCAGTTTCTTAAAAGCTTTAAGCTTTAAAAAAGTATAATAGTGTTGAACAAAAGACAAATTGTAAATACATGTACGTTGTTGAATCGATGAAGATCGTCTATAGTTCAAAATATGAATACTTCGACAAGACTGTGATGTGACATTGTTTGGAATTATGCTCCGGATGAAGATGTAGTTCAACATTCTGTTGAATATGATGACTAAAATGCTACTGGAATGTCCATTCACACACAGTGATGCTTCACAGAGCACTTGTATGTGAAAATGATTTACGCCTACTAATAGGATCAAATTTTTCAGATGAAATTCGATGTAAGAATAAGCCCATGCAGCTTTCTCCTGATTTGCATTGTTTTTGTATGCTAGTACGTGAGTTTGAGACCACAATGAAGTCCTCGGAGATTGGTTCCTTGTGCCATCATTCGAGTGTTTAGTATCGAGTCATATCACACTCGAATCTGAATCATATCATTGGCTGGCCAAACTAGTGAATACGGCTTTGGAATTGAATATACTGGATTTTTACTTCTCAGTATAAATATCAACATTAGTATAGAGCTGTGGTGTGGCTCAGTAAATTCAACATGCGACTTTTAAACAGTAAATCATGGGTTCGAACCTTGCCCCATCTACTGAGGACTGATTAACCAGACACTATCATTACCTTCACACACTAAATGTGGTTCATATCTTACTAAATTTACAGCTAAAACGTTTTATTAGTAACATCTAACAAACATGGAAATGCAATTTATTGAGCGGCTTATAGGGAATACGTACCATCAGAGGCGAAACGTCATTTAGATTGAATAAATGAGCAACAACAAATTATAGATTTAAAGAAATTTTTCTTAGCATCGACATCATAACTGGAGTTATTCAAACTTTATAGAGAACAACTAAAAAGTCCATCTGTTACACTTTTTAAAGTGCTGAATACACTCATTTGATCATAGGAAAAGACAAAACTTGGTTGTAGCGAAGAAAAGAAAAAAAAATTTCTTCGCTTCAACCACGTCCTGACTTCTTAAAGTATACACTGTTCAACTAAATTTACATATTTATCACTTTAATATCCTTTTTAAAAAAAGAAGAAATGTGACCATTATCGGTATTTTTTAAAATCATTCTATAGCTTCATTGCTGTGGAATTAATGGAGCTAATGATTACCCAGGACTAAGCATCCCTTCGTCATGTTGTATTCCTCAACATCCAAACTGTCCAGATAAATCAGCTTCCTATACTATAGTAAGTAATTAATACTTTGTAATTGTTTATTTGTCTGTTTGGCTAAAATAAGAATAACAGTATATGTGTGTACAAAAAACTACAACAATTCTGTCATCATCCTTGATTCTGAGTCAAGCATAACGCATTAAATCATTGAGTTATCTAATTTTAAGGGACTCACTTTGACAGTTGCGATTTGCCAACAAGTGATAATCAATGATAACTATCCCTCATTCTATGACTGTATACGATGGTCGCTTCTTCACTTTTTCCGATCAAATTCAGTATCGGTGGTAGTATTTGATGAAATCCCACTTGAAGTATTTATATAGAATGCGTTGATGCTTCTTAGGCATTCTAAGCTAAAATTTGAGATCTTATAAATCGTCTGATCGGAGATTTAAGGATATTTGGCTTGTGTTTCACGCGCTAAGTGTGAATTGGTGCTCTGTCTGTGGTCTGTACTGGTACTTAAGTTGATAACTAAAAGTGAAGTGATTCATTGCATTGACCACTTCTCATTTCAAAAGAGTTGTGTTAGACACTATAACATAATTGTTGTTTAAATCTCGACACATAAAAGAAGCTCACTTGAACTCCTATCGACCTTGACTACTTTTAGTGCCATGGCGAATGGCTAAATTCTATGTCGCTAACGCCGAACTACATGATATCGTGAAGCACAAATAGAGACAGACAAATCAACGTAAAACCTGGCGTAAAAGTGCATCACTTAAAATTGCCACATTTTACGGTGTTATGCCAAAAAGGGAATAGAAAAAGAATGATGTTATAGTAGGAAAAAGTATACGTAAGGATAAAGCATAGATAAATAGATAAAGGTTAGTAGGTGTTCGAAATCTCTAAAATAACAAGTATTGTCCACGTCTAAGTGATTGTGACCAATTTTGAGCCATATTATCAAGAGTTTCTATTACTGATTCCAGCCAGAAAACCTCCACCTCCCTGCACGAATCAAGCCAAGAATTCGAGACTTCACAAGCTGTTGCCACATATTGGTCTCGCTTTCTTTAGCTTTGTTTCAACCTAGTCCTACTTTAACTAACATCGTGTGAAAAGCATAGGTGATGCCTCATCGTTCACAAGATATATGGGTGGTGTTTCACAGCTTCACCTCCTTACCTTCCTTGACTAGAGGCTCATTGGTTTAGGCAGATTACTTTTAACCGATAGGTCACGAGACCGAGCCCTGATCTAACTACCGAGCTTTGGATAGCCCTTATGCAATAGGTGTGACTCATTGCCTACTGGACAAATGTGTACAAGATCACTGAGTGCATTTCAATTTTAATTCTCTGATTTGTATTCAATTTTCGACCTAGAGATTACTCAGAAAGTGACTCAAACACACGAGCAGTCTTACACATTATGAATAATGGCATTGATCTAAAAAGGCTTATACTGAAAGTGAACCAAATTAAGATACTAAGAGAAACCTTGAGGTTCCCGACTTCCAGTCTGAACTATTTAGTGAAGTAAAGGCCATCTGGTTCCTGCTTATGAGATATCAGGAATCAGCTGTGCGGAACTCTAAGTGACTTAAAATCAATCAAATCAGCATATACCACCTTCAAAATTTCAAGTATTTCACTAATTTTTATGTATTCATTTATTTTTTTTATACCTGTTTCTGTTCATCTCGTCTTTATGTGCTGTTGTGAAGTGTGATATTGTAGAATCACTGTCTTTTTGCTCCAGGTTATTTATTGGTTCATCTGTCTGCCTATCTGTTTATCTTTTTTGTTTTTGTCTTATTAGCTTAAGTAAAGTTTTCTCAATCTACAAAAAATATTTTTATCACTTGTGTTGAAGAAGTAATTTTGCTCAAGAACTAAAATAGGTCATATGCTACTTATGCTGATTGTTGAATCATTCAGACAGTGCCATTTATTGTTGAATCTCTTGAGAGCTTTTTCAGTCAAGAGAGGTCACAACATATGGTTTTTCTAATAGGCATAATAGATTTAACATTGAAGTGAAAATTGTTGATACCGATACTATTTTCACTTTGTAACAGTTCAAGTATTCAGCACGTTTGTGGTTTACTAAAGTTGTTCCATTCTTATCGGCTTGATTAGAAGTGGTGAACATACCCCTACGACAGATTGAAACGTTATACAAAAATGTATCATTTAAAGTTACCAGGCTTTGTAGACGCATATGGGTGTAATTTTATAGGCCACCCTAGAAAGTGTTGAGATAACCAGTTAAGCTTCTCTATTTTATGAAAAACTACCTTTCTAGCCGGAATAACGAAACCTTATTGGTTATTTCAGCAGTTGCCAGAATGACCTTTAAAGTCACCCTCATATTAAGGAGGTATTAACAAAAAAGCCTCCAAGAAATTCCAGTCAATAACGAAAAGAATAGGTCGATGGAAAGCAAAAAAGTATAAAAACAGAGAACATTTCCTGTTTACTGTGAAGTAGAGAGTGATTACATCTGTCATCATGATGTCAAGCTGTATCATATAGAATGAGTCTTTAGTCAATGATTCCTAGCAACTCATACACTTCCACTTACGACTTAAACCAATGCTGCTTTATTCTAGTTTAGTCACTGTTTTAAAATCTTATTCCATTGCAACTAGTGTCACATATCAAGAAAAACGATAGTTTTTATGCATAGCATATAACAGAACCACTTTGATTGCCGCAAATTCCCAATTTGATCGATCGGTTGGCTTTATTTGCTACTGACTTAGCACCCAAGCTCAATATCACTTGCCTACTGATTTAACTAGACTATGCATTTTTTTTCTAATTAGTCCTGATTTACTGATATAATTGGACAAGAATATAAACTTAAGGAGGTCAGAACTTTGCTTGTTTAGGAGAATTAGATTATTGCCAATGAGTTGACCGAAGTAGTTGTCTGTCGTTTCTATTATATTCTGTCATTTGGAAAACGGTTTCATCCTTCACTTTATCAACCGATTATAATGCTTGACTGAAGATTAATAGTTTTGCTTACCAGACTTATACAAGCTGAAATGTATCGTAATCAGTAGTATTAACAACGAAATTGCGAGTATTTTGGAAACTTGGTTAATTTCGAAATGTAATTTTAATGCAGAGTCTGTATTATAATTGATGAGCCAGTAAACAAGCTCAGGGTTCAAGATTTTTTTAAAAGTGTTGCATTCACTTTTTCTAAAATGAAAAATGTCAACTATTTGATTTCAATGTTTAAACTACTGGATGAGACAATCGGCTTTCAACCAATAAGTGGCAGAAGGATTCTAACGATGATCCGTCTACACTGAAGCTTTGACTAGGCACTAGACTTCTAACCGATGGGTCAACAGTTTAAATCCCACTCCATCGACGGATGTCTGAACAGTCAGATAGTATCATTAGCCCTTACGTAATAGGTATATCTCATTGCCTACATGAATATGCAAGTGGTTGTTTAGTGTATTTTCATTTTGATTCCTCTCCGTCTATAGGGGTTTGCGAAATCAGATAATGTTATAGCCATAATCACCTTACCTATGCCTGAATAGTTGTGTGCCAAGCAGTTTTGATCTCATAAGTTCTACGTCTCGCTTTCTTCCTGAACATTCTGTCATAATTGTTTGGATTTTTTTTATTGTGGGCTAAATTGACAAAAATAGCAATAGGTAAGATCATTAATGATTTATGTCAAGTAACTGACTTTTGAGCTTTGAGACTACATATCTAACTCCCCCAGAGAATAACTACTGTCAAACATGGTATTAAAATCTATGGAACCTCAAGGTGGCCAATACGAAACGTGTCACAAAACTGCGGAGATTATTGAAAAGTAGTCTAAACCTCATGAGGGAGTACCGAATGAAACCGAGTCGAAATGCGCTCAACAATCTTGCGCACATTCGTATAGTAGACATTGAGCCATACCTATTGTATAAAAGCTGTTGATACTATCCGATTGCCCAAACCTCAGTAAGTTGGACGGCGTTCGAACCCATGGCTCATCGGCTGAAAGATATCTCTCTAGACCAATGAGCGACATCTCCAGAAATTGTAGACTTTCGGCATGAAATCAGCACTGGTAAATTATTTCGCCAATAATTTGTTCTAGTGGTGGGATGCAGTGAAGCATTACTGTTTAAAAAAACTCTTCTATAACTATCAATTTTACATTCTGTTTTTTCATGTTTTCTTTTACTTCTTGAACTACTGAGTCGCAAGTGACGTGATGCCTTATTTTGTTAAACTACAAGCTGCATTATATTTTCTTTTTCTTGTTTACTTCTTCTGTTCGGAATTTCTTTTCTTCTTATCTTCACTATCTCATGAAATTTAGTTTAATATTCTTAGTGACCGCAAAGTCTAAAGTGCACTGCTGAGGAATTCCATACTAGGACGAAATGTCTATCCAGTGCTCCCAGGTTCCCAATGTTCTTCCAACTGATACCAGTTCATGATGAATACCAACCATTTCATTCTTATTAAACACATACGTACTCACCTTTGTATCACCTAAAAATAGCTTTCATCATGCCGTGGAATCAGACAGAAAACCGTCGAAAACTAGACAATACTAGACAGCTATTTCTTCATAATGGAATACTCTTCAACAGTGACCACTTAGATCAACTAATTTACTTTTTCTAATCTCATTCAGCTTGGGATATAGTGTGACTACTAATAAGTGTATGTATTTCTTCCTCACTCCTAACTTCGTTGGTAATACAAGTCACGACTTCCCATTGAACTCCAGGGATTTGATTTTGAACTGGCTAACTGATGAGTACTAAGTATTTGTATATTTAGTAAGTCCAGTCAAGTCGAGTGGTGTTAGATGACTGTTGCGCTGTATTTTAGATCAAATTAAGGTGAGAAATCTAAATTACTGTATTCAAGAGTACTGGATATGGATAGGAATGTACTCCATCCAAACCACATTGTTCTTGGTTCGATTCTTGATGGAGTCTTGAGTGCACATTGAAGAAACGTCTGAAAGCAGGACAAAGTGAATATCCGCTACTATGTAATTTTCAATGGTTTCGT